CTCTGCGCGCGCTGCCCGCCTGGCCTGTGGCCGCTCCGGCCGGCGCCGACCTTCCGTCCCGTCCCCGCTCCGCCCTCTCCTCAGGCGTCTGGCCGGTGCCAGGGCCTTGCCCGTGGTATCGCTCTCAGTCCCCGCCGCGGTAAAGCTGGGAGGCCCCTTCACGCCCATTTCACAGACTAGGAAACCGAGGGTGAAGCGGAGGGAGGGGAACCTGACTTGCCCAGGGCCTTGAGACAAGCAAATGCCAAAGCTGGCCCAGAGCCCGGGTGCGTGTGACCCCGGGGACCCTGCTCTTTCGGCGGCACCGCAGTCGCGGGGGGGTTTCAGCCCGCCCCCCGCGACCGCAAATAAACACAATGGCTCCTGCTGAGGCTGAGGCGCGAGACGGGAAGCGGGCGAGGAGGTTACGCGGAGGCCACGGCCGCCCGCGTGGCTGATGCAATGACCGGCTCATAGCTGGGCTCCTGAGGGCTGCATTGTTCTCCACCCGCCCACGCGCGCACTCACACACTCACACTCACACACACAGCCCACCCCTGATTGGACAGTCCCGCCAGGAACTGGTCAAGAGGCTCCAGCGTTTGTGAGAAACGGGGTGACTTCTAAGAAACTCCTGTTGCAAATAGCCGAAGGGGTGGGGTAAACAGGAAGAAAGGAGAAGAAAGAGGCATTTTTTTAAAAAAGGAAACTGAAAGAAAGAGGGAGAGCTATAAAAGAAGAGTGCCGCTTGCCCAGGGCAGCCTCAGCTGCTGCACCGGCCACCTCTGCAGGGTCTCCCCCACCCAGGTATGTGCTGCCATCCCTTGTTAGGCTTGGAGCTTATTGGTGTGTTTCTTACCAGCCTTTTACCAAAGCGCTGGCAACCTTGGCTTAAAGAGCGAGAGGGTGTCTCTCTTAGTATCGGGGTGTTGTACATTTTATTTCATCGCATTGACCCCCAAGTTCAGGTGACTCACAGCTTCCCTACGACAGGGAGGTTCTGGGGAGCAGGTGCCTGTCTGGATTCCTGGCTGGAGTTTTAGCACCTTTGTGCTGGCTGTCGTATTTTTTCACTGATGAGGCCTCCTTAAATAGCCAGTATCCAAACCTATTAGCAGTCTCGTGGTGATCCTCAAAAATACCTTGTGCCTGGCTTCTTGTAGATTAATGCCTTCTTTGCCTTTTAAGATAATGTTCATCTTATTATGTGGAGAGAAAAAAACAATCCCTTTCCTCTTAGTGTTTAGAAAAGAAAAAGTGAACATAATCTGTTCCACGGTTTGAAGTGTTAACGAACTCCTTGCTTTAAAGAAGTCACCTTCTGGTCCTCTGGTAACTTGACCATCCAAGGCCATTGTCGCCCACACTTGGTCCAGGATGGGAAGGATGGTATCCCACCCCTGGTGGTATTCCAGGCACCTAGAAACTCCTTGGTCTCCCCCCAACTTGCAGAATGGATAGGCTCTGATCTTATCTTTGAGATGAGACCATTGTCCTGTTGTTCCATTGTATGGTTCTGTAATTCTTCCTTTCATCCCAAAACTGTACCCAGCTTCTTTAGGTGCCTGCTGTGCTCCTGCAGGACAACGGAACCTTTCAAAATGAGCACAAGAGTCAGGTTGTTTAAAAAGAGGAATTGAGAGTTAATTTTTAAGAGCCTAGCAGCTTTCTCTCTGAGGTATGCTGTCATCGGCTGGGGAGTAGGCTGTATTGGTCTTGACACTCCCAGTACTTTTTTAGAGGAGATAATAGATGACTTCACTGGTTATAACTTCATTCCTTTGTTTTAGATTATAGTCTTGGGTAAACAGCTTTCCTTAACAAAGACTCAAAGCCCAATTGGCATTTTATGGGGTTAACACTTAAGACAATGGTCCTTAGCCTTTGGCACCTCAGACACCGTTGAAAAAGTAACTCAACCCAGATACTCTGCATGGAACCCGGAATATACCAATGTGCATGCAAGCTAGTGGTGTAATTGCAGAGGTTCCAAACTCCAGGTTAAAAACCTCTGAAGGTAAATTTAATTCTAAAAGTTAGCTAACAAAGAAATAAAGGAGGGTGTTGACTAGATGGAAGAAACAGTGTCAAATGGGTGGGTGCATGAAATGAGAGAAGTGGTAGCTGTTCTTGTCTCTGGTCATTCCTGGTGCACTCGCTCACAGAGTTGTATCACACATTCACACACACACACACACACACAAGATTTACAGTGTGGGGATTACCACGAAGTGCGTATCTGCCTTGTGATCACAAGAGCAGGGAGACCTCATCTTTCCCTCTGATATTTATAGATACATGTTTTTTCCCTACAACACAGACCCTAAATGCGGGCCCAGTTTGTCTGGTTGATCACCTGCAGTGACCTGCTCTCCTGTAGGGAAGATGAGCTGCCCAGGGATCACCCCATCATTGTACCTGGCACTTTCCCCAGGAATTTTTAAGGGTAATTTCAATCTGTACTTGATTTTGGTCCCACTCAGAGACTTCAGAACTTTACTGATAATGTTGCTGAGAGGCTGTAGGAACTTAACTCTTTTCTATATCAGTTAGCCTAGGGTAAAACTGGTTATGTGTCCTTTCGCTTAAAGTGGCAGAAGATTTGATGTCATTAGGTGAGGACTCACTGAACTGTGCACCTGGCTTTGAAAGCTGGGAGAATTCGGGGTCACGTGTAAAGTATCTGCACATGATATTTGATCACCTGTGGCCAGAAGTCATTTTCTTCGCTTTGCTATTTGATGTGGGCCTGAGCATTTCTCCTCTAGTGCCAGTCGGAAGGTTCTTCCACATTCCTCTGTTACAGGCTTCCCTGAACTGCGAGCCTTGTTATCCATATCACTTACCTGCCAAGCTTCCCTTTCTGGGAATTGAGGTGGTTTTCAGCACAGAGGGGAAAAGAAACCCATCCTGGTTTCAGTATTATGGTCTCTGATTATATGAATCAGGTTTAGTTGAAACTTACATACTTTTGAAACAAATATTTAGCAATGGGTAAATAAAAATAAGTTATCCCTCAAATATGTGTTTGGTTCAAAGAGTTACTAGAAAAAAATTTTAAATGATTAAAGAAACAGTAGTCACTCAAACCTCCACCGTAAGGCCGATGGTGGGCTAGACCGTTACCTGCGTCATTGCACTTACCCATGCACCGTCCTGCAGTTAGTGTTGTGATGAGCTGTTCCCACTTCACAGGAAAGCTGAGGCTCACTCCAGGTAGGGGACCTGTGGGATACTGGAGCCCTCAGGCCAAACTTCGTGAGTTTGTATCCCGTCTCTACCACTTACTTGCTGTGTTATCTTGGGCAAGTTTTTTAACCTCTGTGTGCCCCAGTTGACTCACCTGCGAAATGGAGATCAACCTGCCTCATAAGGCTTCAGTGAAGTGATAGGTAGAGGTGCTTAGAGCAGTACCAAGCACAGAAGTGCTGGAGGGTGGCTGCTGTGTCACAGCCCTTGTAGTTGTCAACCTTCTCCTAGGTGTAGCAACAGGCTGTAGGTGGGGCTGGGGCTCAGCCAGCTCTGGCTCCTTGCACACAGTGCCCGAATCAATTTAGTGCTTGCTTTACAGTTTATAGAATGCTACCATGTCGTCTTTTCTTATTTCTTCTCATAACAGCCCTTGAGGTAGGTGAAGAGGTACTTGATGGTGAGATTTTATAGATGAGGAAGTGGACACTCAGAAAGGGGAAGTGGCTGACCCAGAGTTTTTCAGAGTTTTCCAGTTAAATAAGGCAGCAGGTCTGACGGACAGGCTATATATAGTTCTTACCTCATTTGGAACCTGGCCGGCTAAGGCCCCGCCCGCTGCCCCAGACCTTGCTTTGTCTGAGAACTGAGCAGCTGGCCCTCTGAGGAAGCCACTTGCTCAGAGGTAGGTTGGTCAGAGCAGCAAAGATCTGGGCATTTGTCGGCAACACAATTAAAGAGTAAATAGCAATTTGCCAGATGTGTTTAGGGTGATTAGACCTGGGGTTATTCAAGCCCTTGGGTGCTTGCTCCCTCTGCAAACACAAGTCCTTCCTATGCTGGGGTGCTGGGGGGCACGCTCGGTGGCTAGCAGGGGCCTCCTTTGAACCCTTGACTCCCAGCCAGCAGCTCCTTTGGTCATTTTCTGCATTTTTTTCCCTTTCCCTTTTGCATGGCCCCAAATGTCCACTACATTTTTGCTGATGTTATTTTGTACATACTCTTTATTATAACTCACCTCCACCCTCTAGGGAAAGAAGAAAGACGGGATACAGGAAAGAAAATACAGCTGCAGCAGTTTGTAATTTCTCTCTGTCGCTCCTCCTCCCGCAGGTTGTTGGGGCCACTGAGCAGCTCTCCCAGCGCCCAGCTGTAGACCGGAAGATGGCGGACGAGCAGGGGCGAGCCTCCCCGCTGGAGCTGTTCAACAGCATAGCTGCACAAGGGGAACGCGTGAGAGCCCTCAAAGCCGGGCAGGCGTCGAAGGTGGGCGGTTTTGCGGGGCTCTCCCCACGTGCATCCAGCCAAGTCTGTTGTGTAGTGTTCCTGGGAGCAGACCGCTCCCTCAGTAACTGACTGTAACTATATTGGCTGTAATCTCACATTTGTCTTCTCCTATACCAACATTGCTGATGCACGTGATCTAAAGAAAAGCCGTCGTCCACCTGCACCTCCCCATTTCCTGCTCCCACAAACACGTATTTTCATTTCTTTTAGCTGATTCTTTTCATGTATAACCCCCCGTAGCTCTAAAGACCACACTTACTACATTGCTCCTTGTTCAGGGCTTTCACTGTGGAAAGTGAGGAATCACCACTTTCTCAAACTCTCTCCATCCCTCCCACCTCCTGACACTGCGGCCCTTGGTTGATATTAGCATTGATGTTATTCTAACCATGGAAATGCTGCCGGCAGCTGACCCATTGCATATACTGAGTGCTTTTCCTTTCCTGCCCAGCTTTGTTTTCTCTGGAGCTGATTAATCTGTCTTAATTTCTTTTTGCTTGGCTTTTTTATGGACTAATGGTCATGGGTCTCCAAGCTTTCCTTCAGTTGCAGAATCTCCCCTGGAGGCCCTCACATCAACCAGTCAATCAAATTTTTGAAAAGGCCTCTCCCAGACTTTCCACCTGCTTTGCCCTGGACTGGTGGCTCACCTCGCACACTGCCCACTGTAGGCCCTTCTCTTGCTGTCCACCCAGGGCTCTTACCTCTCTGTGGGCCCCTGTGTCTCACTCCTCTGTGGTGAGCTCTCTTTGGGCAGAGCAAATCTTCCAGTGGTTTCTGAAAAAAATTACTGCTAAGGAAATAATTTGGGGGGCTCTGACATGGTCTGAAAGTATCTTTATTTTAGCTAATATTTGATAATGACTGGGTATTCCCTCAGCAGTCTGAAGCCCCCTCCCAGGGCTGCTGTGGAGAAGCCGGGTGATTCCTTTGTTTTTTCTTGCTGGACATTTGTAGGATCTTCTCTTTGTGCCATGTTTTGGAATTTCTTTGGCATGGGTGCTCGCTCAGTGCTCCTTTCAAACTAGAAATTTATGATCCTTAAATTATTTCTTTGATCACTTCTATGTTCTGTTTCTTTACTGATTTTTTTTTTAATTCAGAGACTCATCCTCTGATCTTATTATTTTACTTATTTTTCTTCGTGTTCTTCCAGGTGTTTCCTCACCTCCTAACTCTCCTGTGGTCTTCCACTTGTCCTTTGAGTGTTAACTTCTAAGAGCCCATCTAATCTCTGTTCCTTTCCTCATAAAACCCTGTTTTTACTTTATAGGTGCAGTGTCCTTTTATCTCGGAGATCTTGTGATCACTATCCTGATGTTCTCTGCCCCCTTATAAACTCCATTTTCTGCATTTCCTTCTGCCTTTCACGTTAGAGCAGCCCTCAAGTGTTTGGTGGTACCTGGCTGGCCAGCATGTTTCAGAGGGAAGCAGAGAAGCTGGCAGGAGCTTGTCAGTGCAGGTTTTCTTTCCCTGGAGCCCAACCAAACTGCTCCCTTTTGTTTGGGAATCTTCAGCATCAGTCTTTAGGTCTCTTCTTTGAGGTTACTAGAGTCCTCAGAGGGGCGTCCTCTGGTCTGCTGTCCAGAGGTATAGGCCTGGTGCCAGCGGCATGTAGCTAAATGGGACAGAGGAGCTAGGCTGCATGGTCCTTCCCTGAAGCTCCCTGTTCTCAGTGCACTACCCCTGTCGGGCAGAGGGCCCTCAGTCTGGACACAGTTCACTCTTCCTCTCTAGACAGTAAACCTTGGGGTGGGGGCAGGGGGGCTCACTCAGCTGTGTTGGGAGCCTGGGGTAGAGGCCTGAATAACTGCTTCTTAAACAGATTGTACCTGAGGCCACTGACTCCCCAGCCTCCTAGGGATTCCACAGGGTGTGAGTCCAGTCAATGCCAGTGTCTCCATGACATCCGACCATTTTTCCTTCTCACATGCTCAGCCAGTTACGTCACCCGTTTAGCCTCTGGCTTCTGAACCCTGCTTCTTGTCTCCTCTGTCTTCATGGGGTTACGCCTTCTCTAGAACCCCCTTTGCTATTGTTGCTGTGGGTCTCAGAAGTTGGATCCATCCAGTCTGCGTCCTAGTGGGCACCCCAGCACTCCCTTCCGTTCTGGGGTGCCTCACTCCTGGGTCACCCAGTGGCTTCCTCTCCACAACTTCCAGCCCGTTGTCTTCTCAAAACTCTCTTCCTAGGCTCTCGGCAGACGGTGTCAACTGTCTCACACTCACCCTGTGAGTGCACTTTGACCATTGGACCCCACATAAACCATTACATCTTAAAAGAAAGAAATAGTACTGGGAGAAAGTGACATCTGTGAGTTGGTTACTCACAGAAAGAAGTTTACACACCAGGTGGGGCTCAATGGGTGAGGCTAATTGTTTCCCAAAAAATCTGAAATAAGGACCCAACTGTTGAATATTTTACTCTATAGACCCATTTAGGGAATTTGACAGTAGTAATTTTGTCCATTTAACATTAAATTTGAACAACATTTAATAAATATTTTTACTAGTGATTCTTAGTGGTCACAGTTACGTCCATTATTTTAGCAAACCAGTGATACTTAGCACAGTAGCATGGTCTTTGACTAAGCTCAGTCAGCAAGAGAGAGCAGAAGTTGCACACAGGCCAAAGGTAAACAACAAAAATTCAGAAGTACATTTGTATCTGACCCTGAAGTGTGTTATCATAGAAGCACCTGACTTAGAAATTCACTTTAAGCAAAATAGTTGAGCCACTCAGTGCCAGTCCAGTGCGGGCACTGTGGCTTTCGCCAGCTGTCTCTGCCACCCACCTGGGCCACAGTTGGCATGTACTGAGGGAGGAAGACCCACTGCCTTCAGAAACGACGGCTCACTGAAGTGGGGAGTCTCTTGGGGGTACAGACCAGAGTTTGGGGACTCTGGCTGGAGACAGTGGCCGAGGTCGTGTGCAGTTTGAGCAGCACTCAGGAAATGACGCTGAACCATAGTGGTTACGATAGAGAGCAGAGCAATATTTCCCCTCCTTTTACTTTATGTAAACTTTTTACATTGAAATATGCCATAAGCAGGCAGCTCACTGAATTTTCACAGTAAGATCCACACCTGTGTGACCAGCACCCAGATGCAGAAACAGCATTGGCAGCACCCAGAAGGCATCCTCAGGCCCCTCCAGTCACTGCCTCTACTCTCCCGACGGAGGCCTCCACCTGACTCCTCTACCCAATCCCTCCACCGTGGGTAGTTCTGCCTGTATTCAAACTTTACATAACCTGGTGGTACATAGTCTTTTGTGTCTCGCTTTTCCTAGAACATCAGCTTCTAAATTCTAGTTCAGTATTCTGGTCCATGTTAGATTGAGAACAAAGAAAGAGACAAGGTGAGCCTTCTTTTCAATTCAGACTCCAGACAGCCTTCCAGCAGGAACGCTGATTGAACATTTGACTCTCAATGAGCCACCTAGTTGCCAGTAGTTAGGTGACATCGGTGCAAAGTGTGAACACTGCCACGGATTCTGGGGCTCTGACTGCCGCATACCAAGCCAAGCCATTCTTCCCACAGCTAGCTTGGTAGGTTGTGCTTGCTCAACATTTATTTTGTCACTAACACTGAGCCTGGGCACTGCAGAAATGAGGTGAGTGAGACATACCTGCCTGTCTAACCGGGGCAGACACTCTGTCTCATAAGAGGTCTATTTGCGGGCTTATTGGTTACACAACTCTGACTCTAAATGAATTCCAGATAGTTTCGGAGTTTGAAACACAAACTCCGTCTGCAAGTCACCCTACAAGAGCAGCCCAGGTGCACTACCAAGGGAGCAATTCTGTAAATGGAGGGTACCGTCAGTACTTGTCCGCTGGGAAGCCCGTTTATAGCACATTACGTGAAAACTCTAAATGGAAATGTTTGTGTTTTCCTTGGCAAGGGAATTGGACTGTGGGTATTCTTTGTGCCCTGACCGAGCCAGGCCAATTATGGAGTCAAGCATTAGGGCTTAATGTGACTGATCTGCATAGTTAGGCCTCCTCTTTGAAATACCAGGCTGCCAGGGGCGGTTGGTGAGGGCTTCTGGGAGAGGCATCAGTAGGTCCAAAACAGCGAAGGAGACACTTTACATTTGCCTTTCTTGTGCTTATTTTAAAACAATAAATATGCAAACACTTGGGGAAGTGGTACAGCTGTTGCCCAGCTGTTTCCATGGATCCTTGCTCAGTTTATAACCTAAAAGCCCCTAGTTGTTCCTTGCCTTTGTCTTCATGGTGTCTGTTTGAGTTGCTGGTGCTGTCCTTGGTGGCATGGTTGTTTGTGTTTCTGAAAATATTCAAGTCAGCCTGTGCATACTGTAAAAACAAGCTCAGAGCAGAGCTCAGTGTAGTGGAGAAGAGGACTTGTCACGCGTGCTCTGCATCGGTGGTGGTTGAGACTCTGGTGTAGTGACTCTTTCATAAACACAGTGTGTACTGTGTCACTGAGTTTATCCCCACAGTGCTTGGTGGTGGCCCATAGCACTAGAACATCTAGATGAAAACAGTATGTTCAGGCCCACACTTGCTGCGTGGCCATGGGCAAGCCCCTTCACCTCTCTGATCCTCAAGGTGGTTCACCTGGAAAAGGACAGTGACAGTGAGGCCTGCCCCCCCAGGGTTGCTGGGAGAGTGAAGGAAGCCACGCGTGGGAAAGCACTGGTACAGTGCCCTCCGCTGCAGCAGGGGTGCCCAGCAGGCGTCTGCTCCTCTTTGTTCCCTCACCCTGCACCCTCTTTCCTGTGTTCAGGATGAAATCGATGCCGCAGTGAAGATGCTGTTGTCCCTAAAAATGAGCTACAAAGCCGCCATGGGGGAGGACTACAAGGCCGACTGCCCCCCAGGGAACCCGGCACCTGGGGGTGATAGTGGCCCAGATGCCATGGAAGCTGACGAGGATTTTGTGGACCCGTGGACCGTACAGACGAGCAGTGCAAAAGGCATTGACTATGACAAGCTCATTGGTACGTCCTGGGAAAAGCCCAGACTTTTAGAAGTGATTCCATTGATGTTCTAACTGTTAAATTAATCATAAATCCAGTCAAGTTTCAATGCCAAGAAAAAAATATCCTAAAATCTTTTGGTGGTGCATTATATTCAAGGATTTTTAAATAAAATAATAAAATAAAGCTTATTACAATACAATGATCTATAGTAGATAGTAGGACCTTTCTCCTTTTTTGAACAGTTCAGAACTTGGGAAAGGTCTGTTGAGATGGACACCATTTCAGTCACTGAAATTTTCCTTCACTTAGTGGTGACAAGTAGTCACAGGTACCTACGTTTCTCCTCCAGTGATGCCAAGTATGGAGCTAACAGGCTGGAAGTCAACTTGAGGGGGGAGACTGCTCACAGGTGGCTGGTTGTCACTTCCAGGCCCTTCCTCGAAGGGCTCCCTGCTCAGGAACGTCCTCACTCTGCGGTCAGTGCTAACCACCAAAGAAGAGACAGAACCCAAGTGTTCTTACCCAAGTCAAAGTCATTTTCCGTGATTTTTAAGTGTAGACTATCAATGAGGGAAAATTTACTCGAGGACAGGCAGGTGTTAATTCAGTTCAGCAATTATAGAATATTGCCCGGCCGGGCGTGGCTCAGTGGTTGAGCATCGACCTAGGATCCAGGAGATTGAGGTTTGATTCCCGGTCAGGGCGCGTACCCATGCGTGGGTTGCGGGCTTCATCCCCAGTCGGGGATGTGCAGGAGGCAGCCAATCAATGACTCATCATTGATGTTTCTATCTCTCTCATTCTTCCTTCCTCTGTCTGAAATCAATGAAGACATATTTTTTTAAAAAAAACGAAAAACAATTACAGAATATTAAAATATATAGTTGTCAGTGTGTATAAATTTTACCTTAATGAGCAATAAGCTACTGTGTGTGTGTATCTGTGTGTGTGTGCCAAAAGTCGCTAGCTAGACTGCGTTCTGGATGTGTTTCCATCAGAATCCAATCCTGAACAAAACAGCACTTTATTCAGTAATTTGTTTTCTGTTTTGCTGGTTGTGATCTCAGCTGTTGTTAGTGCAAAAGACATGACTTCATGCTGGGCAAGAGGGCCGGGGCAGAGGCCTAGGGGTTTGGTTCATTAAGACTTCGATGCATCGCTGGTTTTTCCCTCTGTTTCAGTGATCCCTACTCACCAGACCTCCCACCACCTAACATAGCCATGTCTTCTTCTTCCCAATGGTTTTCCAGTTCGGTTCGGAAGCAGTAAGATTGACAAAGAGCTGATAAACCGAATAGAGCGAGCCACGGGCCAGAGACCACACCGCTTCCTGCGCAGAGGCATCTTCTTCTCACACAGGTGGGCAGCACCACAGGCCTTCCCACCCTCCTCTAGTTCAAAGTGATCGGTCTGTTCCCTCGGGTGGCCCGGCACTCCGCGGACCCACCTCTCCCTTCAGTAGCTGGCCATGAGATCCTGCCTGTCCCTGCACCCCCTGGCCCTTAGCTTCTTCATCAATACACTGCCCGCTTTACCAAGTGAAGGTAATATTCACAGAGGATCACATTCATGTCGGATCGTGTCCAAGCTCAGTGTTTCCCATGAGATAAGCAGTGGGCTTCCTGAAATTATGTTCCCTCTTCCTCCTATTGTGCCGGTCTGCTCATAAATCATATCAGAAGAGAAACTAAGAGGGCTCACATGCACTGCATATCCCTCCTTAGACCGTAAGTGCTGTGTACATAACATCAGAAAGTGAGCAGGTTCCCAAAGATCACCTAGGGTTGGGGCAGTCCACCTTTGAGGCTGTGTTCCTGGGGTTTATAGTACAAGGTAGGGTTGTTCTGTTCTACTCCCCAGTCATGGTCTCAGAAGAGCACACACAGGTCACAGGTCAGCCATCTGCCCCCACACTTCAGATTCTGTGTGCAGAGAACTCCAGGCCTTGCTCAGCCTTCTGGGCAGAATATAATCAAACTGTTTTTCTTAATGAGATTTACTTTACCTTTTTCAAGTTCACCTTTTTCAGTGGTTTTTAGTATATTCACCAGGTTATATAACCATCACCACTGTCTTAATTCCAGAACATTTTCTTTACCCTGAAAAGAGCCCCGTGCCCATTAGCAATCAGTCTCCCTTCCCCCTCTCCCCCCTACCACTGGCGACCACTGGTCTCCTTTCCATGTCTATGGATTTGCCTCTTCTGTGCATTTCATATGAAAGAACCACCCAACGTGAGGCAGTGTGTGTACCGCTATTTCACAGAGTGTGTTTTCCAGGCTCATCCGCATTACAGCCTGTGCAGGTGATGGAGGCATGGGACTTGGAGCTCTTGGCCATTCTCAAATTTGAGAATGCTCCCCCCCACATCTAATTTTATCATCTGTAATGTAGGGGATTCAATGAGATATAGCACCCACTGTCCAGCTGCAAACAGCCAGTGGGTACTGGCTGGGCGCCTACCCCTCTGAGTGAGTCCCTGCCGGGACCCATCCTCACAAAGCTGCTCTCGTGGGCTCCACGCACTCCAGGGAGTGCCCCGCCCAGACCTACCACACAGCGGTCCCACCACTCAGTGAACGCCCGCCACTCAGCGCTCAGAGACTCCCACAAAGGCGCAAGTCAGCTGGTGCGGCCACTACCTGCCCTTCTCCTCTATTAGCCTGTAAAAGTTTGATTGGTTAGTTGTGAGAGCCAGAGGAGGACTTTTTCCCTCCAAAATTGTGTTTTCATTATTTCCTTATTTCAAAAATAGTGTGTGATACCATGGGGGCGGAATCAAAACTCAGCACAAAAAATCAGAATGCTCCTCGGCCTGTCAGCCCAAGGTGAACAGCTGGCAGCTGGCCCTGGCTGGGGGTGGAATCCCGTAGTGTGGGGTCCACCAGACCTCTGGAAAAGGTGGCTGTTTCTCTTTTATTTTGGGAAACTGCCCAGAAACAGAACAGTCACACTGAGAGTGGTGGTTCCACCCCTGCCACATATCGCAGTTACTGGGGGAGCCTTTTAAAAATACAGGTTGCAGATGTCACCCAGCCCCTGTGAATCAGCCTCTCTGAAGTGGGGCCCAGGTGGGTGCAAAGTGGAAGCAGCTGCCACGTGATTCTGAGGCACAGCCAGGAGGGAGGACCCTCATGTGCCTTGCCTGTGGACCTCAGACCTGGGGAGGGTGGTCGATTCCAGAATGACTCCCAGGTTAAGACACCTGGTCCCACCTGGCTGAGGGAGCCCAAGTCAGCTCTCCAGCTCCCCACCCTAAGTCAGGACTGTGCAGAACCCTGCGACATCCCCACCTGGGTCCCCAGAGTCTCAGGGCTGGGTGATTCCCGGAACAGCCTGTCACCCAGACAGTGTATAAAGCACATGATGTATCTATGTTGATACTGGGAAAGATTCCAAAACAGTTCCGGTGGCTGCCTGTCCGAATCCATGTTTAAACACACTATTCCGAACCTCAAGTCCTCCGCTCTAAAGACAGTCACAGGAGAAGCTGTGTCAGTAGACGTTTCCTGTTATTTTTATCACAGAAGCACCAAGGTACAACAGACTAGTTCTTGCCCGTGTTTTCTCGACATTTCCAAGTGAGCATTAGTGCCTTGATTTCTTTTCCCAGAAAAATCAGTTCCCTCTCTCCTCTTTCCTTCAGAGACATGAGCCAAGTCCTCGATGCCTATGAGAACAAGAAGCCGTTTTACCTGTACACGGGCCGGGGCCCCTCCTCCGAAGCCATGCACTTGGGCCATCTCATCCCATTCATTTTCACTAAGTAAGTTCTGAGCCTGTGGCTCTCCTTGCTGCTGGTAGTGAGTCAGGAGCAGCAGGTATAAACCGTCGAGAGCCCACAAGACAGGACTCGTTTACGTTTGCTGTACAAACCCAGTATCAGGGACCTGGTACCTGTTCACCTGGTTTGTTCCTGATGTCACTTTAGAGGGACATGGGTGGTGGAGACAGCCAGCCGGACCTGATTCATACCTTCTCTTCTCTGTCCGTGTGACCACAGGCCAGCTACTGCTCTGAACCTTAGCTACCACATCTGCAGGGTGAAGATAATCATAGCTGCCTTGTAAAATTACTGTAAGACTACAAATGATGTCCAACAGCTGGCCTAGAGCCGCCATGCAGGCACCCTGAGTTCATAAACGGCAGTAGCCTTCATCATCGATACGTCCACAGCGTGCTGAGACCACCTGATTTTGTAGAAAAGGTGGCTTTGGCACAAGTTAGTCAGAACTGAGTTTCGAGATGCCAACCTGCGTTTTTCTGTAGGGAAGTGAGATGTCCGCCTCTGCCCTTGCCTCCTAGGTGGCTGCAGGATGTGTTCAACGTGCCCTTGGTCATCCAGATGACCGACGACGAGAAGTACCTGTGGAAGGACCTGACCCTGGACCAGGCCTACGGCTACACCGTGGAGAACGCCAAGGACATTATCGCCTGCGGCTTCGACATCAACAAGACCTTCATCTTCTCTGACCTCGACTACATGGGGTAAGGAGAGGGCGCATGGCTGCCTCTTAAGCATGTGCAACATCAGGTCCTCGGGACACGGCTGCATCTGAATCACCTGAGATGCTCTCGGGCCCCATGACGGTTTTTCTTCCTCGAGTAAGTGTGTCACCTCGTGTATTGGCTGTGGTTTCCATCCTCAGCTGTGCCCAAGAAGTGCTTCTGCGTCGTAGTTTCTCTCTGAGGATCGTCACAGTTAGGGTATCTGTCTTTCCTCACAGAGAAGACTCCCCAGTTTCACATTCCCTCTCAGTCCAGGTGTTTAAATCAGCCACTTAGGCCAGAAGGTTTCATCCTGAAAAGCCTTGAACTGAAACTTCTGAGGTCTTGAACTCCATCCACGTGACTACTGAGAATGTGTTAGGAAAGTATTAGGTTTTTTAACATTACTTTTCTCGTGGGCACTGCGGGGCCCTCCGAGAAACGTGGTCTTAGAAGGAAGGACAGTGGGCTTGGGTTTGAATCCGGCCACATCTGTAGTGGTTGTGAGTCAGCGTCTGGCACATGAAGTAGGATGAGATGAGACCTTAGCTGTCAGTTACTATAATTTCCATGGCACTTTGTTTTACTTCTCTCCCCCACTCCTTAAAAGGCCCATGTGTTCTGTAGCCTCTTCCCACCCACCGTGGCCCCTCAGGGCCTCTGGTCCCCTCCAGCCTGTGCTCTCTAAACTCAGGTCTGGTTGAGTCCCCTGCGCAGGCCTTTCCCAGCACTCCCTCATCCTCAGGGTCAAGTGCTCACTTCTCTCTGAGCACACCCCCCCTTTGTATCTAGGCCTGGTTCCTGTCCAGCATCACTGCCACTTCCCTCTAGGTCAAAGAGTTGACAGTTCCATTTCCTCCCCTTTGTCCGTATTCCTGTTGCCTGGAGTCCCCTCCCCTCCAGCTTGGGGGGTTCCTCTGCTTCTTCCAAACCCAGATCAGGCATCGCCTCATCCTGGGAGCCGGCCCTCCTGCAGGCGAACTTAGCACTTGGCTCTGGTTCCTGGCACCCAGGCTCCTCCTCGGCCACCTCCAGTGTGTGGTGCAGAGTGAGGGTGGCCTTCTTCCATGAGGTCAGTGAAGCACTCACGGCATGCTCTTGGTGGCAGGCACCTCCTAGGCCCTGAGAAGAAGTGCTGTGAGGAAAAGTCGGGAATCATACCTGTGCGCAGTTTTATGACGACTTATTGAGGTGCTACATAGAAAGTACTTTAATGCATTTCGTACCGCTCACAAGTTTTCTCGTTTTTCACGCACCATCTGTTATGGACTTTAGATGTCAACACACTGTCTTGTCCACATCGAATGAAGCGATCTCATTGGTGGAAACCGTGCAGGTCAATCTACGAAAAACTATATAATTGCACGAACCCATAAAGCATTGCAGTTACATTGTATTTTGGTCATTCGAATATGATGATTTAAATAACGTGCAGTTTGCCCAAAAACGTGCGGTCCCTGGCTTATGTCTTAGAGATTTCTATGCGGTACGCAATGTGTTCAGCAGCGCCTGGCACCTGGCGAGTGCTCAGTGAATGTTACTATCTAAAATCTCTCACAGCATTAAACCGTGTCCCCAACTGGCTGTGTGAGCTAATCCAGGACATGTTCCTTAAGTCTTGGGAGTGTGGAGGGCAGATGTTCTCTCCAGAGGTGAACTGATGTTCAGCCATCATGTGTGGGGCTCAGCCAGATCTGCTGCTTATCACCAGTGGCGAAGCCTCGTGTGTGGGCGCCGCTGCAGCAGAAAGAGGCCCGTCTTCCTCAGAAACCCTGCTCAAACACCAGAGCTGGGGCCCTCTCTGTGATTACTTCAGCCTGAGCCTAGTTCCCTCTGGTAGCAGAATGGCTGCCACAGATCCAGGCCTCTTATCCACACCCCTCACCATACAGAAGAGGGCCCTGTTGTTGGGGGTGGGGTCATCCTACCCAAACAGCATGACTCCCCACAGCGGAGGGGTGGTGGTGGCCAGATGCAGGGAGGGCCGGCTCACAGAAACAGGCCCTCTTGCCTGGCACTCCATCTGATAACAGTTGCAAATAGTCTCCCACAAGACAGAGCATAATCTGTCTCAATAAAACCACTCCCTGGGGCCCCCAAATGTGAAGCCCCACCGCACACTCACACTGAACCGGCAGAGTTCAGATACTTCCTGTCTGCTGCCAGCCGGAGTCCGGTTGTGTTCTGGCCTCATCTGCTTGTTGCGGGTTGTCTTGTGTTGATTTCACACTGGATTCCATGCTTGCCGTCCACCTCATAGGTGAAGGCATGTCTGCCCTGCCTGCTGCAGGTGTTTGCCTATAGTGGCTATTGGGCAGTTCGCTCCCCGGTCTGTCCCCACTGGTGTCGTCCCCTCTGGCTTGACCACCTGCAGCTGTGCCCTTGGTGGAAGGCCCTGTGGGCCTGGAGCCTGATTCTGATTGTCTTTGCAGGTCGAGCCCAGGCTTCTACAAGAATGTGGTAAAGATTCAGAAGCATGTGACCTTCAACCAAGTGAAAGGCATTTTTGGTTTCACGGACAGTGACTGCATCGGTAAGGAGTCACTGCTGACTGTGCCCAGCCCCAGCCCCAGCCCGTCAGGAGCCAGAGATTCCTTCGGCCTCTATCCTGGGCGTGTGGAGTTGTGTTCCAGGGTGCCAGTCCTCCTGTCTCCTCAGTCATCTTTAGTCATCTATTCTAAGGCTTTAAAGGAAGTAGAAAGGGTGCAGACTGCCCGCTTGTAGTGTACATCTAAGTCTACCTGAGCACCCAAGTACCGAGGCTAGGGCTGGCTGGCTGGCGCACTACTTGTCAGGTGTGACACAGGTCCATACCCTTTGACCCAGAAATCCCACCTCTGCAGTTCTCAGCAAATAACAGTAGCAGTATTATCAATACCCAAAATATTGAAAACAGTGTTGTGTGCCAAGATAGCATAATTTGTAACAACTGAACATGAACAACCTGAATGCCCAGTGGGCAGAGAAAGGTTCAGTGTAGATGATTCATTTACAGGATAGAACATAGTAACAGCCACCTGGGAGATGCTTCAAAGTGGAAAAGGCAAGGGGGGAAACAGTATAATCACAATGGAAATGAGTAGAAATAGAGAAAACATGAAAAGAGACACAAATTGGTTATAGGGGTTTTTTTCTTCTACTTTTCTGTGGTTTTCGGGTTCTCTTTAGTGATGATTACTTTTGTAATGGGGAGAAAGCCCGCTTTTGCTCATCCCTTCACCAGGGTAACCGGACAGGGGCTGGTCCCTTGTGTAAAGATTCTCTGTCCTCACTCCCAGGGAAGATCAGCTTTCCTGCCATCCAGGCTGCTCCCTCCTTCAGCAACTCATTCCCACAGATATTTGGGGACAAGACAGACGTCCAGTGCCTCATCCCCTGTGCCATCGACCAGGTCAGGAAGCAATGGGGTATCTGGGCTGGGCTGCAGGGAGGCTGTGGGCACTCACCAGTAGGAAAGGCGGATTGGGAGGGTGTCGGCGGAAATCAGTTCTGTAAACTGCCTGGAAGCTGTGGGTGGCTCTGAAGGCCTGTGTCGTCCAAGGGCTAAAAGCTGGCGCGTTTCTTCGAGCCATCCTCAAGATGCCTCCTCTCCTCTAGGATCCTTACTTCAGGATGACAAGGGACGTGGCCCCCAGGATCGGCTACCCTAAACCAGCCCTGCTGCATTCCACCTTCTTCCCCGCCCTGCAGGGCGCCCAGACCAAAATGAGCGCCAGCGACCCCAACTCCTCCATCTTCCTCACCGACACGGCCAAGCAGATCAAGACCAAGGTGAGCCCTGCCCCGGGCGGAGGAGCCGCATATGTGCGCAGAACCAGGGGCTCAGGAGCCCGCACACCCACGCCCACACCATCACTCTGTCCTTCCAGCATCTGCCGCAAGGCTGCTGAAATCCAGGGTCCATAGTTGTGCCCCACTAACTCCAGGCCACCTTAACCTGTTCCCAAATATCAGGGGAATTTATTTTGTGTCCTTTCACTTAGGCAGAACTTTGGATTTTTTTTCTTTCTTTTCTCATCAGCACTCTGTTCTGGAAGCAAAGTCAGGGCAGTGTTTTTTTTAAAATATATATTGATTTCAGAGAGAGGAAAGGAGAGGGAGAGCGAGATAGAAACAGCAATGATAAGAGAGTCATTGATCGGCTGCCTCCCACATGTCCCCAACTGGGGATGGAGCTCGCAACCCAGGCATGTGCCCTAACCGGGAATCGAACCTCGATCTCCTGGATCCTAGGTCAATGCTCAACCGCTGAGCCACACCCAGCTGGGCAGGGCAGTTTTCTTTAAAGTTACTCTTGAACAGTAGAGAAAAATCAGTTTATTTCTGAGCACAAGCTATGTTCAAGCTATGTTCCTGAGCCAGGCCAGGCGCTTCGTTCACATTTCCTTGTTTTAATTCTCACTGAGAGAGCATGGTGTGTTCCTTTTAAAGACGAGAGGGATGAGGCCCAGAGGGGCCAACAACTTGACCGAGTTTCCACCACCGGAAACCAGCAGAGCGCTCCTGGCCTGTGAGCAGCCACCAACATGGTGCTTGGGAGCTGGCTTCCTCCCAGAGTCTCACTGAGACTCAAAGTCGATAAATGTCGTTCCATGGGACAGCCCTGCCCTGCCCAGCATGCAGAGGGCTCTCAGTCAGTATTTGTCGTCACCAGAGAAACGTGAACTGTAAGTCACTTGGTTACTTACAGTTACGTCTGTTGCTTGGTTCTGAACTGCCAGCATAGGACAGTCCCCTCACTGCCCCACAAAGCTGCTGACATTTTATTTGGAACCAAGTATGTGTTTTCAGGTTGGAATTTTACAATGGGAGGGACAGAAACTGTATTTGAAGCATGTAATGCAACCGTCTAGGTCACTGCAGGGCCCCTGACCCTCCTGGAAAGTCCCAAGCAGTTTCTCGTTGACAATAGGGAAACCGTTGATGTTGAAACTCTTGTAGACAGAGCTTTTTCTTTCCCTTTCACTTCTGGCCAAAACTCCCAGAGCAGGTCGTGTGGGGGACAGGGGAGGCATCCTGTTCCGTCCAGCACAGAAGGCATTGCGTGTTGTTTTGAGATGCTGTTTGAAGTAAGTCATTTTTGACTCTGGGGCATTTTTCATCCCCCACAAGACCCAGAGGGTGAGTGAGCAGTAAGCGTGAGGTCAGGAACCTCAGGCTACAGAGGCCACCAGGGCCCTGAGCAGCCTGTGGGACAGGACAGGGCCAGGCCAGGCCTTTGTTCCCAGTCTCCATGCCCATCTTCAACTCCAGAATCAGACTCCAGCAGCCGAGAGAGGGCATCTGCCCCCCTCAGAAATAACAGCAGTGACCATGTGGGCATGTGGGGGCGTGGCTGCGAGATCACCTGCCATGTGCTTACCTGTGCAATCTCATCAAGTCCTAACATCCACCGGAGAGGCTGTGTCCATTCTGTAGGCGAGGAAATCAAGGTGCGGCGGGGTCAGACAAGTGCCCTGTGTTCACCCTGTTGGGAAGCAGTCGGGCCAGGACTGTAACCCAGGCCCACCAATGTCTGGCCCCACCTCTTACCTGCTGTGGGAGAGTGACCTTGGCTGTCCAGGTGTCATTTGTGATGTAGGGCAGTTGTCCCCTTCACCAACGAGGCAGGGCTGACATGAGATTACATATAGAAAGTTTTTATGAACTGTCAAGTGCCCCCCAAATTCAAGCTTTTAGTTCAGAAAGCAAATAGATGAGCAGGTCCTTGGCAGAGCAGGCCATGCCAGTGTCTCTGTGGGCTGTCACGTGGACCTGACGGAGCCCTTAGAGTCAGCTGGCCCCCACAGGCAGCCCTTGGCAGTGGGAATTGCCTCCTTAGGACAAATGTTCATGACACAGTTTACTATCTGGCCACCCACTCGTGATTTCTGGCCCCTTTGTGCCATTCCCAGAGCTGCCCCAGGCCCAGAGAGTGGCCTGCCCCCACCATGGTCTCAGGGCTTCTGCCACCAACTCAGCCTTCCCATTAGGTTGGAACAGTGGAAATGCTGGCTCCTGGTGGTTGGATCAGGTCCCTCGTCCCTCAGCCCACACAGCCTTACCGGCGCGGTTTCCTGTCCATTACATGAATTCATGCTTTGAGACATCTCACTTGCTTCCATCATTCTGGATCCTGGCAGTAGCATTCCAGCCCTCGCCAACTGTCGCTACCCTAATCCAAATGGTCTTCCTGTTGGTTCCCTGTAAGTTGGGCCCAGCATCACTGAGGACCGGCCATGTCCAACACCAGGACCATGGAAGCCACTCCCAGCAACCCAGTACCCCAGGAAGGGCCAGCTTGGCCCCACCATTCAGTGCCACATGGCGGGCTCTGGACCCTTGGGCCTTGTTTTCTTCACCTGTGAAGTGGAGAAGGCGATACCGAGGTCACTGAGGATTAAGTGTTTGTAATAATCATCACAGCCACCATTTATGGTGCATCTGCTATGTGCCATCATTGGATGCAGGGCCTGTCTGGGTGGCAGGCGGTCCCTGAGCATCTTGGAAAATAGGCAGCAGGTGCCCACTTGCTCGTCCTACTCAGACAAGCTCAGGGAATTGCCCCAGGGCCCTCGGGTCATTCTACCCTTGCAGCCTAGGAGACTGTCCTCTAGACTTCCTGGCACAGGAACATCTTCCCTGAGGCCCAGCACTGGCCTGGCCTGGCCTGGCCTAGCCTGGGAGTCTGCACCCAAGAAGATGCCCACACAGGCAGAGGCCTCCAACAAAGACCAGAGGCTATGGCAGACACAGTGCACCTGCCCGAGGGTGCACTGACCTCAGAAGAGCCCAATACTTGGTGGTTTTCTCTTTCTCCTGTTTATTTTGTATTTTCCATAGTTTCTGGAGTTCACATAGTGATTTTATGACTTGCTCCTTTTTTGTTAAGGAAAGGGAAGGTGGCCTGCCCGTCCGCCCATACCTCTCGCAGCTTCCCTCTGTGCAGGGCCTCGCCTAAGCATCTCGGGCAGCTTCCTCTCCTGAGCAGAGCCTCCCAGGCCCACCTGTGGAAGATGAGTGTCCCTTACCTCACTGTGCTGTGCATTCAGCCGCTGCTTCTGGACAGTCCCAGAGCATCCAGTAGTGACCTGTCCCGGGGACCTCTGGGGAGACCTACTGAACATCTCCACTTAGAATTTACCAACCCCATCTACCCCGTTCTCCAGTAAAAAGTTAGGGTAACATCTGCACACAGCAGGCTTCTCAAGTACTCATTGAAAGAACATTGAAGGGACTTTGCCTATCCTTTTGGCTTTTCTTCTCTCATCTGTAGCCCTGATTTCTCCAGGACTCTCCTCGATGTTTCCTGAAACATTTATTAGTTTGTGAGTCTGTCTGAAAGTGTGTGTTAGGTGGGCCCTGCTTGTTGGCCTCCCAGCTCCGCACCGTGCGTGGGTCCAGCTTTCCCTCCTGCGCCATCTTCCGTGCCTCCCATTCTCTCACGCAGCCAGGCTCAGGGCTCTGGTGACAGCACTGCCTGCCCCGGGCACCAGCCGCTCCTCCCTGGTCGTGTGTGTTACTCTGAAAAGGGCTTGTGTTTGTCCTTTCTCTGTAGCTTGTCACCTGAGAACACGTTAGGACATGTCCCCCAAATTTCAGCTCTCCAACTGTTCTTGTCTCTGGGGAGTGGGGAACACAAAGTGAACCCGCTCTCCCCTGCCCCTTCCCTGCAGTGGGCCCCACTGTGGCTGGTTGTGGGGCTCTCCCGCCGGCCGGAACCAGCCTTCCTTTGGTCAGGATCTGATGGGCTTCACTTCCAGCACTTGGGCTCCTTCAGGGTGGCTGGAACCAACTAGTGTGTGTGTCTCTTGCTGGTGCAGGTCAACAAGCATGCGTTTTCTGGAGGGAGAGACACCATTGAGGAGCACAGGCAGTTTGGGGGCAACTGCAGTGTGGACGTGTCCTTCATGTACCTGACCTTCTTCCTGGAGGATGACGACCGGCTGGAGCAGATCAGGAAGGTAAGACAGAGGCCCTGGGCCCTAGGAGCCCCAGCTCACTTCACCAGACCTGGAGGGCTCTGGTAGCTGCTAGGGGTGTTCAGAGCTTCCTCAGGGCCTTGGGCCCAGGAGATTACAACTGAGTAGGTAGATCATGTTGTGACCATGTGCTGAGAAACCTGATGAACAGGATTCACAAAAGAGGAAACGCAAGGTATTTACTCAGTAGCCACACAAAAGGGTTTCATGGTCCTCTCTCAGAGCCGTATAAGTCCACATGCCATCAGAGTAAAAACAAGCCCCTACCAAGTTAGCAGCGTTGTGTGTTGCTGTTGTTTTGCAATGATTGTAAACCAGATGCTTCCAGGCCCCCCAGGGGAGCCTTGTGTCCCCAGCACAGCCTCTCCAGGAGCAGCTCCACCGTGGGTATAGAGAACCCAAAGAATATCCAAGCTTTGCCTCAAGTTCTCCAAGTCCCAGAATCTTTTCCAAGGACTTAATCCTGGTTAAAGAGCTCCCCAAACGACGACATTCAAAATGATAACTGCAGAAGCGCAGGACCACTGCACAGCAGAGACAGGTCACCTAGGAGGGTTTACTGACGTGGGTCAGTGCACCTGCGGGGCGGTCAGGTGGACAGGCATCGAGAGCAGTGCAGGGGGGAACCCAAGACGCCACCGGAAGGCCATGGCCCTCCCTCCGGCACTAGCCTTGCTGCTGCTCTGGGGCCTGGGTACTTCCTTAAGCTTGTTCACTGAGTGCGTATTACTTTTACAATCAGAAATGAAAAGGATTCGGCAAAGATTTATAAAGGTGGGTAGGGCTGGAGGAGCTGCCCGTAGTCGGCGTGCCTAGAGTTCTGCTCAGGCCGCAGGGCCGGCCACTCCCCTAGTTCCTTCCACTGAGAGCACAGAGCCACTCAGGGCCGAGGCCCTCCAGGTTCAGAAGGGTGGCCTAGGAGGCACAGAGCAGGTTTTTGTTGGGAGTGCGGTGGTGGGTGTGCGGAGCCAGTTCTCAGGGTGTCTCCTCACAGGATTACACCAGCGGAGCCATGCTCACCGGCGATCTCAAGAAGGAGCTGGTAGAGGTCCTGCAGCCCTTGGTTGCAGAGCACCAGGCCCGGCGCAAGGAGGTCACAGACGAAATCGTCAAAGAGTTCATGACGCCCCGGAAGCTGTCCTATGACTTTCAGTAATGCCCATTTTACATCTGCACATACAGAAATATAGTTTACGAATAATCCCAGCCCCATCGAATCCCTGCTGCGCCTGGGCTCTGTCACGCGGAGTCCTGGCTCTCATGTCTGCGCCCTGCATCTGTCAGTGCTCTTTCTTCCTCTGGGTTTCATCCTCTGTCTCCTGTCAGCCGAGCCCTGGGCTATGCCTGGGTACCGGCTGCTGGGCTGGTCAGGCAGGAAGTCCCGCTGGAGTCTCTCCCACAAGGCACCCTGGAAGGGAGCCTTGGGCGCCGTGTGCACTGGCCCGCCTGCTCCAGCCCAGCAATGGGCTTGCATTGGAAAACCTCCCACGGTTCCAAATAAACCCTGAGAGCCTGCTGGTGAAAGAGCCCATGGTTTGTGCACACTTCGGAAAGTCGAGGTGGGGAAGTTTAATGGGCACAGACGTATTTCCGCCCATTTCCCCCCCCAAAAAACCAAAAAGAATTGCTGGCCAGAGGCGGCCACTTTTATTAAATTGAGTCTTTGTGGAAAAGATTTTTCATCTCACTAACCTCCAGACCGCATGCATTCTCCAAAATTCACACTCCCTTCCCCAGTCCTCCGGATGCTGCTCCCACCCACTGACCTGAGAGGCTGGCGGCTTTGCAGACACCTTTGTCCTGACAACTTGACTGGCACGGGGGCCTGCACGGAGTAGCGCCCTGCCCATGTCCCCAGGTGGGTGGACGGGGCTAGAGAGCGCAAGGCAGCCCCCGAGGCCCTAGGCGCTGTGCTGTGGGAGCCAATCAGTCTCACACCCTGTGTGGTTTGGAAAAGCGGAAGGATATCCCAGGAAAACCCTCTGTGGAGGCGCAGGGTCCGCTCCCGAGTGCTCTATCCTCATGTTGCTCATTGGCGTAAATAAACTTTGGTCCTGCCTGTGTGGCTGTGCTGTCTGGGGTTGAGTGGGACAGAGGCCTCGCTTCGGGCCCAGCTGTGCTGCGCCTGCTGCCCAGAGCTGCAGCCCCTCGGCGGACAGCCTTGAGTCCGCTGGCCTCACAGTTGGGGGTGTGGGTGTGGAGGCGGGCAGTGCCCGAAGCCCAAGCCCGTGGCACTGAGATGCAGGTTCCCAGGAACCAGTAGCCCGCCCACCTGTCTAGCCCTTTGCAGTCTCCCTGGCCTGGCCTCTCCCAGCTCACTTCCCAGTAGAGAATCAAACCGGGGTCCTCATCTTGTGCACATGGGAGCGGGCCATAGGGTGGGCAGAGGCGGGGCTGTGTAGTGACAGGCCAGGCTTTGGGCGGGGCTGGGCTCACTCAGTGGGGCCCAGGGCGGAGGCCCAGTCAGGCCTGGGCTCGCTATGTGCTAGTCCTCGTGTAACTGGGGAGACTGCAGCTTAGAAGGGGAAGGTGGCTTGTCTACGGGCACACAGCGTTTGTGGCAGAGCAGGCCTGCCCTGACTCTCTTCCTTCTAAAACCTGTGGGTTCTTAAAGTCTCCGGAGGGACCCCAGGATCAGGATAGATGTGGCCAGCCCAGCAGGTGTTTGGAGGTGACACAGGTTGGTTCCCAGCCCCTGGAGGGCGAGGACTGCTTCAGATTTCCCATGCGCCTTGGTCCCCAGTCTGGTGCGGAGACCAGCTGAGCTGCATCTAAGGGACAAGCAGAGAGAGCACCCTACATGGCAATGGACAGCTGAATGGGAGGACAGATGGCCACTCGGCCAGAGGGAGCACATGCCCAGGACAACACTGCAGAGCCAGAGTGAGAGGGGCTCCCAGCACAGGCCTCGGTGCCTGCAGCCTCAGATGCATCGGCTCTCCCTGAATGGCAGAGCTATGCCGGCTGCCCTTCTGGAGCCAGGACATGACTGATGGCCCCTGGGTGACCACCCTTCAGCTCCCGTTCCACATTTCAAGTGCAGCCTGACAGTGAAGGCAGAACAGTTAGTGGGGAGACCAGCTTCTGGCCCCACTGATTCTGGGCCCGCCCCCTTCCTTCCCCATCTCTAAAGAGGATCTGGGCTGAGTCCAAAGGGTCTTGCCACCTAGAGGTTGTAGAGAACAAGGACCTTCCTGCAAAGCCATTTCCCCAACATGGATGGGACAGATGCTCAGTGACCAATGGTCCCCACCCTCCCTCAGCCGGTCGCTCCTTCCAGGGCTGGAGCAAGTCGACACTCTGGTGGTCTACTTGCCAGAAGTGGGCACAGGGTCAGGGTTTTGATGAATTATTAAAACCTTTTGTTAGCTGACCCCCTTTTCCAGGCACCTGGCCAGAGTGTCAGCAACTTGAACTCTAAGCTGGATGAACTTCCAGGAAATACTCCAGGACTTCATTTATTCACTCACCCACTCAGTCGTTCCACAACCCCTGAGCTCCTGCCCATGCCAGGCCCCAAGCTGGGTATTTCCCAAATCAGACATGTGCTGTCCTTGGGTAGCCCTGTGGGATCTGAGTAAGAGACACCTGAAAGTGGCCTGGTGGTCAGGCAGGGATAGCTTCCTGGAGGAAGTGTGTCTGAGATGGGGAGTGAGCCAGGAGAGGAGAGGGAAGGGCGTTCCTGCAGAGAGCACCTGTGTAAGCGAACAGGGTCAGTATGACAAGCAGGCCAGGCCAGGGTGATCCACCCGTGGGTCTGGGAATACGAACGTGTTCTGTCCAAGGACAGAGTCAAGGCTGGTGTCTGTGAGGGAGTGTAGTCCAGGCTGCTGCAGAGGTTTGTAGTCCAGCAGGTTTGTCAGCACCTGCCAGCTCTGGCTCCCAGTGGCCCCCATTGGCCCCGTCACTGGAAGGCATGTGGTGCCAAGGAGACAGCTGGAGCCTCAGGAGCCCCCCACCCTCCCTGCGGTGTGGCCTGGAGCACACCCAGCTCCCCCTCTGAGCTGTTTCCTCACCTGGCCAGGCTGTTGTGATAAGCTGTGTAAGGTGCCTGGCACCCAGCAGTGTTCAGGACACACTGACCCCTCCCTCCTCCAGGCCCCCATGGAAAGACGGCTCACAGCTGTGTCCGGGCACTGATGGGACCAGGCAGCTGTCTGGAACTGGCTGGAACCCGGTTTTGCTCAGAAAGGGGATGGATTTGAGACGGTAGCGAGGAGAGCAGGTGTCATGCTGGATGCCGAACAGCCTGCTGTGGCAGGGCCCAGCCCACGGGCCAGGCCCCCAGGTCTGAAGGCCGAGGGAGTGGAACCAGCCAGAATGCTGGGCGGGGCGCTGACCCACAGGTTTGGGGAGCTTGGCCTCTGAGGATGCACTGAAGGGGGGGGACCCTGATCACCACACCACAGAGCAGCACCACTGGACATCCTCAGGAAAGTTTAATTGACAACAGGCCCCCTCTACGCCTCCAGGCAGGGTGGGGATACATGACCTGCCCTCACACCAGCTCACCACGGCCACGGGCAGTGCTGCTCTGAGCAGTCTGGTGCCCGAACCAAACAGCTGTGCCTCAGTCCTGTCGGGGGGACCAGCTGAGCTGCAGCTAAGGGACAGGGGGTGAAGAGTGCCCTAAATAGCAGCAGAGAGGAGTGGGGTGGATGTGGGTGGCCAAGAGGACAGCCGAGTAAACGGTGGTGGCGGGGACATGGGTGCTCTGAAGACGGGTGGTGGGGAGAGGCCACAGGGTGGCTGGAATGAACAACTGACCACCTGCACCCACAACTCCACGTGAGGGATGTCCTCACCCAAGAGGACTCCTCCCTGGCTCATGTGACCCCCAGGCCAACCCAGGGCTGGTAGCAGATGGGCCCCTGGACCTTCTCTGGTCTGTAGCTGGGTGGGCCAAGCCCAGGCCCCAGCAGATTGTCTTTAGGGTGGCTCCCGGCTGTCCTGGGTGACCACGTGTGAGGACACTTCCCTTCGCCTCCACCAGCTACTGTGACCTCTGGAAGCTGCTGGCGGGCTGGCCCCTGGGCGATGGGACCAGCTATTTGAGCAGGCCCCGGGAGAGACTCAGCGCGGCCTCGTAGGCGACAAAGACCACCATGTTGACAGGGAAGGCCCGGCAGCAGTTGAGCGTCAGCCCCTTGAAAAGGACCCGTGGCCCCTCCTCTCGCACACTGGTCACCATGCAGTGCAGGAGGCCCCGGTAGCGCTGCTGGCCCTGCCCATCGGCCTGCAGGCGGGTCTTAATCACGTCCATGGGGGTGGCCACAGCCCAGGCCAGGACCCCTGCACAGCCACCGGCCAGCAGCACACCCAAGACATCTGCAGGGGGAGACCCACAAGGGAGCGCCCTGATTGGAAGCTGACTGAGCATGAGAGGAGAGTGGGAGGGGCACCCAGGGCAGGGCCCAGCCGTAATGGAGCCCTGGGCTCACTCCACCGTGTCCAAGACCACACAGAGGGGGTCTGTCCTGACCCTCAGCGTCAAGAGCACTGGGGTTCCCACCCTGGGAGGCTCTGGGGTACCAATGTGCCGCGTGACTCAATTCCCACTGGCTGAGCCTGCCCCCTTCCCAGGCCCCAGCCCCCAGCCCCCACTCACCTGGCTGGCTGTGGCCTGCAGGGGTGAGCCACTCGCTGAGGATGGAATAGGAGAGGAAGTAGGTGGCGAAGGAGTGGCCCTCGCGGAAGAGCAGGGCAGAGCTGCCCTTGTAGAGGCCCCGCAGGCCCTCCTCACGGGCCACCGTGGCCAGGCAGTGCAGCGGCCCCCGGTACTTGGGCCCAGGCACCAGGCCCGAAGGGGGCGCAGGACACATGGGGGGCGCTGCCGAGGGCCAGGAGGCTGAGGATCGCCGCTGCTGCTGCGTCTGCGTCTGCAGGCGGACCTTGGCCACCTCGGTAGGCGAGGTCAGGAACACCTGGAGCAGAGACGCAGCAGCAATGAGGGGGCACCGGCACTGCCCTAGACCTGGTCTCCGGTCGGCGTCACGTTCCCCACGGGGACATTGGGAACCCCGGGCCCCGTGAAGCTTCAGGCTGGCCCACGGCCCCGGTGGAGCTGCATTCAGAGCCAACTCTGCCCACCCAGGCCAAAGCCAGCACTGGCTTCAGCCACACACACGTCCCAGCGCAGAGCGGGCTGGACACACAGTAGGTGTCGGGTAGTGGCTGTGACTCGGGCTCATGAGAGCATTTAGTCACATCGTTAATATGTTAACGACATATTAATGTATTATTTAATTCATGTACTTAATGTAAATAATAAAACAACGTAAGTACTTAATAACATTAATGTGTAACATGACATTACTAACAGTGCCGTTTGCCATTTCATGGATGCCCACACCTGTCAGGCTGTGCTGGGGGCTTTGCACGTCACCTCACCAGTCGTCACCGTGACGCCTCTTACTGACGAAGGGTAAGAAGTTCAGAGAGGCTCCCGGCATCCTCAAGCCCCCTCAGCTAATGAGAGTCAGCGGAGTCCCCTCCCAGAGTCCCCCAGCCCCCATCTCGTCTCTGCGCTCACCGAGCCTCAGTTTCCCTGCCTCTGGGCTTGGCCACCTCTCAGGCCCTCCCAGCCTTTCCCCACGACCGCCGCCCGGGACCCCCCGCCGGCCCACGCACCCGGACGAGGCCCGAGGCGAAGCCCGAGAGCGTGATGTCGGTCCTGGCGGGCTTGGCGTCGGCACTGCCATACCGGACCCGGCAGATGTGCGAGAGGCAGTGGCGGTAGGTGCCGAACGACAGGGACGAGACCAGGGACACCGTGCACACGGGCAGCGAGAGGCCCCTGTAGAATCCCCACACCTGGCGGACGGGTGGGTGGGACCCAAGGGCCCGAGTCAGACCAGAGGCCGGCCGGGAAGATGGCCCCGTCTCACCCTGCAGGCCCTCCCTGGCTGCGGGACTCCAGGCAAGTCACCCGCTGCCCAGGGCCTCGGCATCCCGGGCTGTAAAACGGGGATCACAGTATCAACTTGAGAGGTGGTGATACTACGGGGATCATAATACCAACTTAATGAGGAACCGAAGAGACAGGGCCAGGCTGGACCCAGGGCAGCTGCTTGGCGATGAGGCTGGTGAACTGACAGGCTTCATTGTTGCTATTTTCCTTTTGCTCGTCCCTGGACAGCCTCAACTTCACTTTGGTAAATGTCCCTGTGTCCTAGCTCTGGACAGGTCTCTGACCTGGACCCTGGGGACCTGACAACTCCACCCAGCACTGCTGCTGCCCAGCCTGCAGGGGACAGAAATGCAAACACATGGGTGTCCCCAGGCCTTCAAAGTCCCCAGATAAGACCGCTAGACCCTCTCCTGGAGGTAGGACCTCATTCCAAACACCTGTGTGCCCGACACCCCAGCCCTGGGCCTCAGAGGAAGCTGGGAGGCTGTTACAGTTATTCCCATTTGGAGAGAACCGAGGCCCAGACAGGGGCTCAACATCGCCTGGCTTGTTGGTGAGTGGCAGGCCTGGGGTGCCAGCCCCGACATCCCCTGCCCGTCACTCTGGCCCAGGCCTACCCGCTCTCGGAGGTAGGTGTCCCGGACGCAGTGCCAGATGCCTGTGTACTTGGGCTCCGTCTGGATCCTGACCTGTGGGAGAAGCAGGCTTCAGGAAGGGGTGGCTCCAGGCCTGGGGGGAGGAAAGAGCCAGCTCCTCGATGGTCACAGGCACTGACGGCAGGGAGAGCAGGGACAGTGAGCCCCTTTTAAGAGGAGAAACCTGAGGCTCATGCTGAGGGAGAGGGAGGGACAGTCCTGAGGACGGTGGGGAGGTCTGGGTCCGATTAGCACTCTAGAAAGCTCTCTGGCAGTGGATGGGGTGCAGGAGACTCGCAGGGTGGCCTAAGCGCAGGCAGGGGCCTTGGGGTGGGTGGCAGGGCCTGTGACTGCACCTTCACCGTGTCCAGGGGGTAGCCCACAGCAACACCGCAGATGCCTGGAAGGAAACCAGAGAACAGGGGTGAGGACAGTGGGAGCAGAGGAGGAGGGGAACAGACCCACACTCTTGGTCCACGCTGTGCGTCATCGATGGGAGAGCCGCCCCGTGCTGGAAACAAGGAAGCGGAGGCTCAGAGAGCTGAAGCGACTCCTGACGGCTCCTGGCGATGCCTCCCCCCCGAGTCTTGGCCCCCAGGTGCCTTGTTCTGAAAGCCAGGGACGCCCTCAGCCTGCCCCCAGGTGTCACGTTTTGAAAGAACTTCTGGTCCGACACTTGCTGAGTCCTCAAACCTCAGGCTGTGAAGGGTTTGTCTGGGGGTGGGAGAGCCCAGGCACCCCAGGGCTCCATGAGGGCTGCCTGGGACCACGAGTCTGTGTGGGAACAGAGTGGGATGCAAGGCTCCCTGGGTGCCACAGTCCCACTTCTATCTCCTTTTCAGGGACTCAATGTCCAAGCCCCAGCACTGCCATGGGGGAGCCAGAGTGAGCAGGCAGGTCCCTGGGGCTGGGGTGTGAGGGCCATCTGAGGACAATAATATATGTGGGGCTGGGCCCTATTTACTTGGTATCCCAGGAATCAATAAATATGCATAAATAGAATGAAATGAATGACTGACTTGGGTAGAATTACCCTCCTTGACCCTCGCATATACCTCAGCAAACTCCTACTCATCCATCAAAGTCCTGCCACAGCATGACCTCCTCTCTGGAGCCCTCCCTCACCCTGTAGTCAGGGCTGCCTCTGTGCCCAGACGCATGTTGATCAGAGCCCCTGTCACATGGCTTTGTCACACAGCATGCCACCTCTGCCTCTAGAACTGGATTCTCTCAAGGATAAGACCCACATCTGGTCCTTGTGATCCAGGACCCTGCATAGAGCAGAGGCCCTTTCTACCCAGGCCTTCGGTGGGCTCTGGAGGAAACACCCAGGACTCAGGAGCCCTTCCTGGCTGTGTGATCTTGGGCAAGTCAAGCCCCGTTCTCTGAGCCTCCTCTTTAGGGGGCTAACGTCCAGGGCAGCCGCTGGCCTCAGGCCCGGCACACAGCAGGACCTCAGCAGCCTCTTGATGGGGCCAGGGCCCTGGTCTGCCCTGCTGGGCACTGCCCTCCTCTCCCACACCGTTCCCAGGAGTGTGAACGAGGAGCCCACGGCTGTTTCACGTGATAAGCAAGGCTAGGGGTTCCCAGCCCAAAACGGCCTCCCCAGCCTGCAGGATGGATGGCCGGGAAGAGCCAGGGCCCCGTCTGAACCTGTTACCCAACAGGCCAGTTATCTGTCTGCGTCAGTCTTTCGAAATGAGCCTTTTCCCCAGAAGTGAAAACAGTCCGTGAGCCCAGCAAAGCCAGGACT